CCTGAGGTACTTCGGGCCAGGGTGATGGGGAGAGAGGTCAGATGATCCGTGGCGATCTGGAACCAACCTCACAAAACTGCGTCATCCATGGACAGGCTGTAAGGGAACTAGCCACACCCCAGCCTCGGTCACGCTGCAAATTTAACCCTAAACAGAACATACTAAACATCAGTGTTGCTCGAAAGCTCAGAGACACACTTTGGAGAAGGGAGGTGTACACACAAGCCTTTCTAGATGGCCGTCTTGTATGCCATCTTCCAGGGATGGGTCCAGAAACCAGCAGATACACTTTGGTTTGTTTTTTTTTAACTGACACAAAATGGTTCGGAGATGTGCCCACTCTCTCTGTCTCAAAGATTCCCTTTTCAATGCTCTGTCCGTTCTTCTGCTTGCCCCAAGCAAGAAACCTCCATCATGCACTATCAGTCTTCAACACATGCTAAATCGGGGCAATGTGGAGACAGGGGAGGCAGTGATGGCAGCCAGGAGGGGACAGGCCGAAGCAAAAGACACTGAATACTTGAAACCACAAATCCTGAATCTGCAATTCCTCTGTTTACTTAGAAACAGTTGCTGATGCTTACCCGGCCCAAAGATAAACTAGCACAAACCGGAAAGGGAAGGGGAAGCAGTGAGGTAAGGGCTGTTGTAAACCTGGCACCATGCATGCAGAGGAAAAGCTCCCCGCGTGGTCAGGACATAGTTTTCCTCCCGATGAGAAAAGTTAGATAACAGTATGAATAGTGATGTTAGGCTGAATCCAGGCGCTAAGCAGAGGCAGAGGGCTGCTGTCTTCACACACATAAAAAGCATTTGGAGACCACTGTGGTGTGGTGGAAAGAGCATGGCATTTGGAGTCAGAGGGGGTGAACTTGAGTCCTGGCTCTGCCTAGAACAAGCTGTGTGACCTCAGGCTAGGCATTCAACCCCTCTGGGTTTCAATTCTCTGTGAACGATGAAACGAATGACTTAGACTAGCTGATCTTGTAGGTGTCTTTCAGTTCTATCATTCTGTTATGCCACTAATGATGCAACAAAAGTGTTAATGCATCCACTCAGCAAGCATTTCCTGAACACATTCTGCACGCCAGCAACTCCGCTCTCGGTACGAGGGACAATCTTGCACCCAAGGAACCTTCCAATCCACATATGCGAGAGACTTGTAAATGAGTCTGTACAGTACAAAGGGAGAGATGTGTGGACAGGGTGAAGGGGTCTAGCAGTGGACAGGGCAGACAGCAATCGGAAACAGTTGCCCAGGAGTGATTCCTGGGCTAACACTTGAGGTAGGAGGTAATTAGGCAAAAGGAAAGAAAAAAAGGAATAGTATGTACGCATGATAGTATGCACTCAGGAATGGCCCAGTAGGGCATGCAGGGTGGGAGGAGTGCTAAGAGATCAAAGGCCTTATAAGCTAAACTAAGAAGAGCTACTGCCAAGCACCTCCAGGCCCCTGTACCTCCCCTGCTGTTCACCTCAACAACTCCCTATATGGCCACATCAGGGTCAGAAACAGCTCCTCCAAGTCCCCTTATGTCGACAGTCAAGCAACCATGCCACCCCTGCCCCCAGTCATCTCCTTTTGTCCCCGAGTCTCATCTAGCTCCACCTGCCGCCCTGCACATCCAGGCCACACCTGCTGACACAGAAGCTTCCTCTCAGTCACCCAGCAGGCCTTGCTTTCAGCTCTTGCTCAGCCCTCAGTACCCAACCCATGTCAGCTGTTCCAAATAGTTTCCATCTTCCTCAAAGCCACAACCACATCCCTCCCACCCACCCCACTCTCATACTTAGTCGATGACTCCCACCTCCTCTGTTCCTGGGAATGACTGTCCAGCACAACTCCCATAGCAACCCTCCTGCCCACCTGTCCTAAGTTCCTTCCTAAATGGTGCAGACAAAACCATGGGTATCTCTGCTTACAAGCACAAAAGAAAGCAAAGAGAAAAACTCTAGGAAGAAATAGAGATTGCATTCATCAACCAATGCAGGCTGTTGCCCATGCATGTGACTGGGCTCTGAAACAAGCACACTTAGGTGGGATAAGGTATATGAATGTACTCTGCATGGCAAAAGGCCCTGTGTAAATATTAGAGCTATTCCATATGTGTTGGTTGAATAAATGAATAAACAAATCAATGAATTTGAGGCAATCTAAAGAGCTGCAAAATACTCAGTATCATCAGCCCGGGGACCAGGAATGCAGTCTAGAATTCGGCCAAGAGGATCCTTTCTAAAACCAGAGTTTTCAAAACTCTGATGCCTCCTTTGCTCCTACACACACAGCCCACTTAATGCCAACCTGAGCAGTGCTGAATCATTTTAATGATGTATTTTGGCTATTTTGGAAATAACTTCCTAAAACAATATATTTAGTATAAAATATAAGCACAACAGGTTTAGTATATTGCACATATAGTACACTATACTTTGTGGGTGTATATATACATTTGTGCCATGCTCTAAGTGCCATTATAAGCTCTTAGCCAATGACTGCTGACATAGGCCCACAGCAAGACACCCACTGCAGCCTCCATTACACCATCCTGTGCTGAGCATGTTCTACAAAATGTTTTGTTTCCTCTGCTAAAGCTCTGTGCCATTTATTTTTTGTACTGGTCACAATTTTGACTCATCACGGCCAAGAGATGGTGCTCAACTGGCTTTGGACCCACCACAAAAAAAAAAAAAAAAAAAAAAATCAAGAAAAAATATAACCTAGGATTGTAAAATCCAATGATTAGAGTAGTCCAAGTCTCATGAGCACCGGTGAACACGGGTAGGCTCACAGACGTCAGAGCTCTAGTCATCAGAAATATTCTGTGGGATGACAAGAAGATGAAAACCCTTCTTCCTGGTTTACTCTGTACCATCTACTAAACAGAGCTACAGAATTTCCTCCCAGTGCTGCAAGTTCAGGATGATACCATGAGCTGGTGAGTATATAATTCACTGTATTTAGTTCTTCTTTGGTGTTTATTACAGGCAGCCATGAGAAATAAACGATGACATTAGGAACCCATCTCTACTGAGACTCTGCCCTTTGAACCCCACAGAAGTTGTTACATGGCCAGTACTCCAGGTTTCCCCAGCACTGAGTGTGTGCGGCATGGGACAGGATAGCGGAATTCTAGAATGTCTGAGCTTGAGGAAGGCCCAGACATAATCTCATTTATATCAGAAACAACTAAAGCTCAGAGACAGCAGGTTGTTGTAGGGTTGGTGGCAAGGCACGTATACCAACAGTCTGATGAACTCTCACCCTAAAACCAAGAGGCTAAAAATGAAAAACATTGAAATTCAGTCTCCATCTGGGCTAGCATTTAGTCTTCAGCAGTCTAGAAGAATGATTTCAGAAAGGCAACGGTGATATGAGAAGAAACAGAAAATGTGGATCATGATGGCTCATAAAATAGGAATAACTCGGATTAAGTTCAGTTATTCAAGTTTTGGGTTCATTGGGCTTTTTTGTTGGTGGTAGTGGTGTGAAGTTCCTTTTCTAGAATCTACAGATGCTTTAGAAGGTACCAGACCCAAAAACTAATTCTTTCTTTCATTAAAACACTGGCGACTTCTATTATCCAGTTTTATATTTTTGTCTGACTATTAAAAGGAAAAAAAACTAAGAAATGTTCAACTCCTTTGAGTTCAGTAGTTCACTTCTATTTGAAAAATAAAATGAAAATATTTAAGAGCAAATGTAATGAGTAAATTTGTATAAATGTTCCCAACATGGTATTTTTATGAGTAAATCACATTATACAAAGGATATTATATGTTTCAAAACTAATATAATGACTTGATTTTTGTAAAGAATACTTTTTAAAAATTGTATTATTGCTTTCTTTCCTTCCCCTTAGTTAAAAACACACAAATTTCTTTCTTTCTTTCTTTCTTTTTTTAGACGTAGTTTCGCTCTTGTTGCCCAGGCTGGAGTGCAATGCAATGGCGCCATCTCGGCTCACTGCAACCTTCGCCTCCCAGGTTCAAGCAATTCTCCTTCCTCAGCCTCCCAAATAGCTGGGATTATCGGTGCCCACCACCATGCCTGGGTCTTGAACTCCTGATCTCAGGTCATCCACCCACCTCAGCCTCCCAAAATGTTGGGATTACAGGCATGAGCCACCAGGCCCAGCCATAAAACACACAAATTTCTTTAAAGAAAAAAATATTTGGTTTACCCTACTGTCCCAATATTTTTTTCCCTATCATTTACATTTTAGTGTCGTTATTTAAAAAGAGAGGTATCAGGCCGGGCGCGGTGGCTCACACCTGTAATCCCAGCACTTTGGGAGGAAGAGGTGGGTGCACAGCTTGAGCCTAGGAGTTCAAGACCAGCCTAGCCAACATGGTGAAATCCTGTCTCTACAAAAAATACAAAAATTAGGTGGGCATGGTGGCACACACCTGTAGTCCCAGTTACTAATGGGGCTGAACGGGAAGATTGTTTGAGCCTGGGAGGTCGAGGCTGCAGTGAGCCACAATGGCACCACTGCGCTCCAGTCGGGACAACAGTGTGAGACCCTGTCTCAAATAGAAAGAAAACAAAAAGTGTAAAGGTGCTTCTGCCTCCTTTTTTAATTAAAAGAATTAGCAACTTATATAAGAGACTATTTCCAGCTTCTGAGTCCATGCTGGGACAATTCTGGAAGTTGTAAATTTTATTGAAGTTAGGCTGCCTTGAACATAGCTATCTTCCCCAATCTTTCACCTAGATCTGATCAGAAAAGCCATCCTTTACAGCAGGCACCTACCTGCCACACAGAGCTATCCAGAAGCAGACACACTTAGAATGGGATGTGTGACTAAGCATGATAACTGGGCAGGGGAATGTCATCTCCTAAAAATGTAGAAGTGTTATATATGGAAATTGTGTATGTGCACATGTACCTTAAAGGGGTTCCTGACCCTTTACCTGAAAAGCCTAAAAACCAGTACCTTACTGATTATGATAGGGAATGCTGAATTATCCAAAGTTCAACAAGCACAAATAATAGTCATTTTTTTCAAGCATACCTCTGCTGGAACCATTTTTTATTTAATCACTGCTGTAATCAGCAGACTACAGAAATTCTCTCTGAGTGAGGAAAACATGGAGTGAGTCATCTCTATGTTGATAAGGAGACAGCAGGATGAGGGCACTGCTGTGAAGTAGGCATCAGATGGTGCCTTGTCTAAATTAGTCAGTGGAACAATCAGAATGATTTCTTCCCATGACGTGCAGTAATCACCGGAGATGATGCTGATCTCCTTGTTTTAGTGACGACCCCAACACAATTTCATGTTTACTTCTCCAAACCAGGGCAAAAAAAAAAAAGGAAAGACAAAAAATGTATTCCACTCAGTATTTGTAGTCACTAGATGGAAAAAGAGAAAGTATCTTGTTTTTACATGTGGCTGGCAAATGTGCTACAACTTCCTGTTTGTTTAAAAAGTACAAGTTCAAATGTGTAAATCTCTTGGAGAAACACCAACACCTAAGAGATGTCGCTGTTGCATGAAATGGATATGATGTCATTGTAGGTCACAATAACTTTGGCCAGAAAGTGGCCTTATGAACCTCTGGCGACATAAAGCAACATGGCAGCCCAGGGAGATACTTCTAGATAATGACCTCTGAGAAGCTGCCCCCAAAAGCACACACTCCAAACAGCAGTGTGGTGACTGGTATCATTGGTTCTGGACACTGAATTCTACCCTACTCTTTCAGAGAGGTGGCAACTTATACCAATTCTATTTTGAGCATTTTCCTAGGGAAGCTGGGATTCTTAAGAGAAAGAAAATGAGTTTGAATTGCTTTTTAATGTGTCTGAACTCCGCAGTTAGAAACTATCAATCACAAAGGATTCCAAATCCCGTTCTGTTCCACAATGCAAGAAGACCTTTCCCTAAAGGGCAGCAGTGAGACGTTCAGTTGAAATGGCAATAATCTGTGGCTCAACTCATGGCAACCACCTCATTTCAAATCCATATTTGTCTAAAGCTGCTGAATAAAGAAAATATTGAGCACAAACAGCTTTAAATCCTTTATAGAAATAAGGGAAAGGATGGAAGAAAGAAATTGGCCTGACTGACATATCCCCATACATGCAAAACTTGAAACTCAAGTCAAAGTACTCAAGTCCCAAGTTGTTAATAAATGTGAAGCCTCAGACCAATTAAAGGCACTGTGAACAGGCAATGCCCTCAATCAAAACACATTGAGCAAGAGGAGTTATGAAGCCAACTGGTGAGGAAGCTTTCAATGTTTCTAGATCATTTATAAAGAATAAAAGGGATACTATTATCTTTTTTAAAGATAATACATAAACATACCACAAAAAAAAATTAAAGTAGCTACCCATCTCAGGCATCTCCTCCTGAGATGGTCTACAAATATACAAGCACTGAAGACTATTCTACAGCCTCAGCAGTGTGTGTGTGTGTGTGTGTGTGTTTAACTTAAGAAGGATACCACCAGTTTTTAAATGTCCAACCACTCTAAGTCTCCAGGGGCATGGGAAGGTCCCATACCTTTTTAATTCCTGAAATCACTTACTGAAGGAGGAAGCAGAAGGAAAAATCCTCCCCCTGTAATTACCAGTAAGTTTCATTCTTTTTAATTTTATTTAGGTTCCATTCTGTGAGAAAAGACAACAAATGAAAACCAGGGTTGATGCCATTCGTCATAAATACCATTCCACTGAAACCCTCATTTGCCATAAACCATTGGTCATAGACAGAGAACACTACATAATCAATGCTCATTTTTCTAGAGATTCCAAGTTCCGGAAGTACCACTCAGAGTGTTTTCACTCAAGCTGGGGAGTCTTTAAACACATGTAGAAGCAAGTCAGCACTGCCCATGCCCACGGGAGGGAGAGACCCCATTCTAGAATGCTGCTGATCATCCTGTCCTCTCTTTTGTCATCATTTCCACAAAAGGCCTGAGAAGACCACATGGGGTTGGGGTTGAGGGAAGGAGTGAAAATGTTTTCAAAGAAGGAAATCTTGAGGCTATTAAAAAGCTTTGGAGGCAGGGGGATCGGGGGGGATCCTAATCTGAAAGGCTTACAAAGGCAGTCAGAGGGAGGAGGAGGCAAATAGGCTTTGGAGCCAGTGATGGTGGGAAGAGGCAAAAATGTCTATGGCAGCTGGAGACTGCAAGACTAAAGGAACTCACTAGGAGCCTCAAAATGGGAAAACTCAGGCGCCCAGTGAGAAGATGGAAGAAGCTCAATAGGACGATTTGTCTGGGAAACAGACAAAGCAAATATGGAGCAGCTGCATTTTATGCCAGAAGCCCACAAATAGATGAAGATGTGTGTGAGTCAGAACTGATTTTCGCATATCAGTCAATGGTAGTTGAGGGGTACAGGAGGAATGCATACATCTACCACAACCACCACAGTATACTTTTTTTTTTGAGACGGAGTCTCACTGTCGCCCAGGCTGGAGTGCAGTGGCCGGATCTCAGCTCACTGCAAGCTCCGCCTCCCGGGTTTACACCATTCTCCTGCCTCAGCCTCCCGAATAGCTGGGACTACAGGCACCCGCCACCTCGCCCGGCTAGTTTTTTGTATTTTTTAGTAGAGACGGGGTTTCACCGTGTTAGCCAGGGTGGTCTCAATCTCCTGACCTCGTGATCCGCCCTTCTCGGCCTCCCAAACACAGTATACTTTTTATCTTGTAGCATTTATCCTTGATATTTTGAAGATAATCATAAATATCTTCTAACTTGTAGCCCTGTAAGTCATGGTGCCTGTTTGGCCTTCTTCAGAAAATTTTATCATATCTAACTTTTCATTGCAAAATTACTGATTTTCAGGTATGTTTTCACTTAGTGAGCCCTCAATTAATGAACTTTTGGATGATATAACTATTGAATGAGAAAAATACCTGAAATGTAATAACAGTAAAGTAAACTTAGTCATTGAAATGGCTTGTAGAAGTTCCAGTGCCCAAGATGTAGCTTACAGGCTATTGGCAAAGGCTGCTGGATGTTCCTGCTTGCTAATAATTCACTCAGCTGACCAGATTTATAATTATGCAATCCTGAAACTAATTTTCTTGATTTGGGGAAGTCATAGCACTTGAAATTTTTTACATAAGGTGAGACTTTATGACTGCTTTTATATCACATTATCTCATTTGTATAATTCATATTTGCATAAAGTAGAAACCATATTCATTAGCATGTCTTCATTTACTTCTTAGTAGGGACTTGATATGGAAAATCTACCCTTTGCCTTCGCCTTCCCTCTTTCCTCTGTCAAAAATCCTATGTATCTCTTCCTTTCTCTCCCTAGATGATCTCATTCAGTCACATGGCTTTAAATATCATCTATATGCCGATGACTCTGAGAGATACCATTTCCAGCCCCAGCCAACTCTACATCTCTATGGGAATATCGAACGGGCATCTCAAACCTAAGATGACACAACAGAACCCTTAGGATCCCTCTTTGCTCCTTATCTCAGTGAACAGCAACGTCATTCACCTAGCCAAAAACACGGGACTAGCCCTTGACTCTTGTTTTTACTTATACCCCACATGCAACCTAGAAGGCTCTACCTTCAAAATGTATCCTGAGTCTGACCACTTCTTCGTATCATTCAATCATCACTACTCTAATCCAAGTCACACCCTAATCTCCTGCCTGGATCACTGGAAGGACCAGTGATATAGGTTATACAGATTCTACTCTTGCCCCTAGAATCTATTCTGCACTCAGGATCCAGAGGAAAAATGTTAAAGCACAAAGAAGATCACATGGACTATGGAATCCAATCACTCTCAGAGTAAAAATCAAACTCCTGGCCAGATGCGGTGGCTCACGCCTGTAATCCCAGCACTTTGAGAGGCCGAGGCGGGCGCATCATGAGGTCAGGAGATCAAGACCATCCTGGCTAACACAGTGAAACTCTGTCTCTACTAAAACTACAAAAAATTAGCCAGGCGTGGTGGCAGGTGCCTGTAGTCCCAGCTACTTGGGAGGCTGAGGCAGGAGAATGGCATGAACCCGGGAGGCGGAGCTTACAGTGAGCGGAGATCCTGCCACTGCACTCCAGCCTGGGCGACAGAGCAAGACTCCGTCTCAAAAAAAAAAAAAAGAAAAGAAAAGAAATCAAACTCCTTACCATAGCCTACAGGGTCTGGCTCCCACCTACCACTCTCATTTCACATCACTCTCCCTCCCTATCAACACCCCCAGACCAAGTCCAGACAAACTGGCTGCCTTCCTGTTCCCCTACCAAGCCAACCTTATCCTATGTCAATGGCCTTTCTTTTCACTTGCTATTCCCTCTGCCTGAACACTCCTCCTCCTCCCCTGATTCCTTTACTCCACTCAGGTCTCTACACAAAGTCAATCTTCTTTTTCTCTCTCACACACATAGAACCCTTTTTGGACCATTCTTTCAAAAAGAGCCCCGCCAGCCCCTCACCTTGTTCTACTGTTTTCATACCACACATTACCACCTGAAATTAGATTGTCTATTTAGTTATTTGTTTGCTTCCTTCATAGTATTGCTCACAATACTTAGTGAACACCCATCAGGTGTGAGGTGCTCTTCTAAGAGCTGAGGATACAACAGTAAACAAGACAAGACATGCAAAGACCCCTGCCCTCATGGAGCTCACATTCTTATCATTCCCACTCAAATCTAAAGTCCAGGGAGGCATAGACACGGTCTGTCTTATGACCACTGAATCCCCAGAACAGTGCCTTGGCACAGAGCAGGCATTAATACATATTTGTTGAACGCATTAAGTGTCCTGCTACCTGATGCCATTTGCTTCCCTGAGGACTTCCACTACAGAGCTCTTCCTGCCTACCAGATGGAATTCAGGTTCTGGGACTCAGAATGTCACTGTGTCCCCTTGGACAGGGCATTCTGGACAGCCAGCCTCCTGTGGCTGAGCTGGTTTCCTAATCCTGGGCCTGCTTATCCTGACTGCCCTTCCTTCCTGTTCCAACCCCCAGCACCCTGCAAACTCACCAGGTGACCATCCCACTGGGATCTGTCTCAGTGGGTCACGAGAGCACCTGATCCACATCATAGGAGCTGACCAGGTAGTCAGTGTTAACCAGGCCAGCTTTTCTCTACAAAGAGTAGCTGGAATAAAGATGCAAGCGTTGTTCAGCGTCCCTGGCCCACGGTGGTCCTTACCCTCAGTATCTCACCTAAGACCTCCAGCATCAACTAGCTATCATACCTGGAGGCACTCTCACCTCAGCACTGGAACACACTGTTATTAAGGACATATTTTTGCCTCGTTCAACTGTCATAGAAGCAAGACGTGTACCTGCTGTGATAAGTAATTAAGTTTCTTTCAGAAAAAGAAGAACATTTGTTAACTGTGAAATTCTCTGATCTCAAATAAAAATGAAAGTAATTGTGAAATGTCGTTAATTCATCTTTCAAGAAAATGGTAGCTATACTGGTAGGAAGGGAAAAAAAAAAAGAGAGAGAATGGAAATCTGTTGAAGAACCACTCTGGAAGTCTCAGAAAATAAGTATTTAAACCCCATTGTTTCCAACATATCAATTTTCACACTTTAATGTATCTGTTGGCTCAGAAGTGCCCTGCTTGAATACCCCTATGAGACTAGCAGATGAAGATGTCTATGAACATCACAAAAGTCAAGGTAGAAAGCCCCAAACTGGTGATCAGTTGAATTGGGCTGAGTATGGCAGCTACACTGTAACACTTACATCTGGAACTCCAACTTGAAAAAGTGTGTTAATAAAGTTAATAAATGTAGCAGGTAGGGCGAGAATTGCCTTGCTCTACATCTCAGAGCCAAACAGTATTACCTTCTATTTGCCTAGGACTTTATTCTCTCTGGGCAAATATAAGCATTTGTGCATACATTACTTCTTGCATAGATTATCTCTTTTAGTCTGCAAAGCAAACATATCCTTAAACAGCAGGATATGTTTCTCTGTCTGGGGCCTGGGAGGTCAAAGAATTCACCTACAATCCCACAGTAAAAATGGCAGAACCAAGTAAGTACCAAAACCCAGATATGCCTAGGCCCAGCTCAGTATCCTTCCTTCTCTAATAGGAAGGACAAATTACATCCTACAGTTAACAAAGTATTTCCCTTCACTGAGAAGAAGGAAAAAAACACATATATTCACCAGTGGTTTAAGGTGGTGGGAAGACGCATTGGTCCAGGAGCTCTGGGCAGAAAGGTTTCACGAACTCTTCCAAACGATGCCAACTCCTGCAATCACAAATGTACAAAACACCTGGTGTGAATCACAGGCACCCTGTGGCCTCTCCCAAAGGGGACTCACTTAAACACCATTTGCCAGGCAATTTAGGCTTAAACCCCTATCTCTTTTAGCCCAATTTCCTTCCCCACTCTGACTTCCCAAAGTAGAACAAGAATCTTTAATTCACCGGCTGAAATGGTACTCATTAGAATCACAGGATCTTGTGCAGAAGGCAGCTTTACAGATCATCTTTAATGGAGATCACAAACCGAAAGCACAAGGGGTGACATCCAGGGTGGAAGTGTTACATTTCATCTGTGGATATGTTTAGAAAATCTGAGCCAAACATAAAAATCAGAGCTATCACACAAAAACTCAGATTTCTGGCTTCTCTTAAAGAAAGAAAAAAAAAAATCAGACCTGTCAACATGGCCCACATTTATGTCTGAAAATGATCAGGTGTTGCTAAGCATTAAAAGCAGTCACACTGCATAGGCAGGCTTGGCTGCTCCAACATACCACAGTTCCCACCACTCGTTACTGTCTCCTCAACACAGAGAAGAACTGGGGTTGTCATTAGTCATTACCCTTGCATTATTGTTTTTCTTGTGGTACAGAAATATTTTCTACTTATAATTCTAACAAAAGTGGGAAAACAAAAGGGGCCTAGTTCCAAGAAAAAAAAATGGTACAGCACATACAGTAACTCAAGTTGGTGGCCTCACTCCTGCAGACATTTGCAACCCCCAAACAAGTACAACACTCCCACTTTACATGAATTAAATGAAAGCAGGAAACTGACTTGCCCGCTCCCATAGTTAGATGGCAGAGGTCAACCTAGGTCTCTCGATTGCCTAATCCAGGACTATTTCACTATGCTGGACTACATACTAGTGTTATACTATTAAGCAAAAAAATTAATACAATAAACAAATACACACAATTAACTAATTAAAAATAATTATCAAAAATAATACTTTCAGAGAAGTATCAAAGTCAAGGAAATACAGTTGAAGCACCCCACTTTCCACTAAAATGCTTGCCATACATCAAAAGTGCTCAGTGTCCCAAACTGTCTGGAATACTTTGTCTGCTAGGAAAATCTCCCTTAATATGCATCTTGAATACAAGACTGTAAATAAGTTTATGTACAAGGTAACAGCACTGTAATAAGAAAGCAATGTTCAACAATAAGATCTTGATAGTACTTATTTATATCACTCCCACAAAGAATTTATTGATTCATTCACTTAAATATTTATTGAGCCCCATTACACTCCAGGAAGTATGAAAGGTGATGGAGATACAAAAGTGAACAAGACCCTCAAGTTGCTCTATCTGAATAAAAGATAGATCCAGACACTCAAAATGAATTATAAAATAATGGGTAAGTGTAGTGATCTGCAGTCAAATGCTTTGCCCCAGAGCTAAACCCTCTACGGTAAGTGTAGTGATCTCAGTATGCACCTGTGTTACGGGAGCACTGAGCAGGGGCACCTGATATAGTGGAGGTGAAAAGATACTTCCTAGCATGGACAGAGGCCTCAGGAAATCCTAAAGCTTGGATGGGAGTGGACCAGGCACAGGGAGAAATGGAGGACAATGGAGGCAAAAGCAAGGAGGTGAGAACAACCCCTACAATTTGGTCTTGTCCAGATCTCTTATTAGCCTTGGGTCTTAAAAGCCCCTGCCTAATGCCACGTAACCCAACATCTGCTGGAACTTGATCCACAGCCCTACTTATGCACTTACAGAAGTTTATCTTGACAAGTGCCCATATCAAAAATGTCACCGATTCAGCCCTGCTTCCTGGCAATGCCTACCTATGACTCCCTGGAGTCTGCTGTCCCAGAGTCCACAGGACGTAAGAAACATGGTGGTGGCCGGGCGCGGTGGCTCAAGCCTGTAATCCCAGCACTTTGGGAGGCCGAGACGGGCGGATCATGAGATCAGGAGATCGAGACCATCCTGGCTAACACGGCGAAACCCCGTCTCTACTAAAAACACAAAAAATTAGCTGGGCGTGGTGGCGGCGCCTGTAGTCCCAGCTACTCGGGAGGCTGAGGCAGGAGAATGGCGGGAACCCGGGAGGCGGAGCTTGCAGTGAGCTGAGATCCGGCCACTGCACTCCAGCCTGGGCGACAGAGCGAGACTCCGCCTCAAAAAAAAAAAAAAAGAAAGAAAGAAACATGGTGGTAGGAATACTAAGGCTTCAGGTGCAGTGGCTCACACCTGTAATCCCAGCACTTTGGGAGGCCGAGGCGGGTGGATCACGAGTTCAGGAGTTTGAGACCAGTCCGACCAACATGGTGAAACCCCATCTCTACTAAAAATAAAAAATTAGCTAAGCATAGTGGTACACGCCTGTAATCCCAACTACTCAGAAGGCTGAGGCAGGAGAATTGCTTGAACCCAGGAAGCGGAGGTTGCAGTGAGCCAAGATAGTGCCACTGACGCCAGCCTGGGTGACAGAGTGAGACTCCGTCTCAAAAAAAAGAAAAAAGAAATAAAGAAATACTAAGCCTTTCATGATGGACAGAAGACAGTAAATAAAGATGTTTTTCTCATACCAGTCAAGGCTGCCCCGTCTATCTCCACCCCAGGGCCTGGATTTCCACAGCAAGAAGCTACTATGCATTTGAGCCTCAAGCAGGAAGCTTTGTGAAAAAATGTTCCAGAATATCTGCCCATCAAAATCCGCACATAGAGTCCTCCTTTTCTTCATAGATAAGAAAGAAGCGAGTCGCCAGCCCTGATCTAGACTGAGGCAAAGCTGGGGAAAAGCACTCCAAAACACAGGCTGGAAAGAAGCACACAGAGGAGTAAAGACCAAACAGGTAGTCAAGGGTAGGGTTCCAGTTCAAGGCCCATATGAGGAAACAAAGAGGCAGAATTCACCTGAAGAATCGGAAGAGTCTCCCTGGATTAGTAACTAGTGGGCAGGTTCCCGAGTATGGCTGAAAATTGGAAACACCTGCAGAACTACAGCAACAAAATAATCCCCTACGTACCAGAGCCATTAAATCAGAATCTATGGTCTGGAGGTCCAAGCACTGTCCAGAACCTCCTCACACATGATGGTGATGTCCAATATCAAAATAGTGTATTTCACCTAGAGGTCTCAGAAGCTCCAAAACCTCCTCAAGGACATGAATTCAGCATCCTCCAGGAAGGAGCCAAGGATCCAGATCTTTAGGGGAGTAGCACATCCCTGGTATGTTTACCCACTCTCTGCATCACACTATGACAACAATCACAACTTCTTTTAAGTAAATGTAAAGAAAAAAAGAAAAAAAAAAGAAAAAAAAAAAAAGGAATGCCAGCAGCCGGAATAGCAAATGGGTAGTGAAGTGGCCTTCCTCTTTGCCCCCATCCCTTGTACACCATGACCCAATGTCAGTGCCTCTTGATAAACGATTGGGGGTGTCCAATCTCAGCAGCAGATCTGAGCCTTCATACACCTGTGTGGGTTCACTGCTCTGGCAGAACAAAGGATGTGGGAGCATCCAGTTATGCAGATGGCCTTCGAGGAATAGCTCCAAAGCACTCTGATCAGGTCCTTCCTGCCCACCAAAGGGCAGGACTCTACCGATCAATGCAGCACCTGCAAACCTGCCAAGCCCGGCTGAGCACTTCTCTTTCCAGATTTCCACTTTGTGGTCATGTAACAACCTGAGCAATCTCAAGCTAAGACTGGCAAAGTAAATGCTGTGTACCGCAAAGATGATGGACGGATCAGAGTAAACTGGCTCCCTGAATGCACCAGCCTGCAGAAATCTCTTCCCCTAACATTACAAGGTGCCACTAGGTGACCTTCAGGCAGCAGCCAGCACCAGAGAAACCCACAGCTGACCAAGGTCAACCTTCCTGATTGCAAGGCCCAGCAGCAATCCATACTATCCTTCCAAGGAACAAGGAGACAGGCAAGTGTTCCCATCAACCTAAGGATCCTCCATGTGAGCCATAATGCAAACTTGGAAAAGCATGGTGGAAGAGGAAGTTTAGGAAAAGCTCAAGATCATAATTTGCCCCTTCTTGGTGGTCTTTAATTTTTATTTTTATTTATTTATTTGTTTATTTTTTGAGAAGTAGTCTTGCTCTGTCTCCCAGGCTGGAGTGCAGTGGCGGCGTGATCTCGGATCACTACAAGCTCCACCTCCCAGGTTCACGCCATTCTCCTGCCTCAGCCACCTGAGTAGCTGGGGCTACAGGCACCCGCTGCCAAGCCTAGCTAATATTTTGTATTTTTAGTAGGGACAGAGTTTCACCGTGCTAGCCAGGATGGTCTCGATCTCCTGACCTCGTGATCCGCCTGCCTCGGCCTCCCAACATGCTGGGATTACAGGCGTGAGCCACCACGCCCGGTGGTGGTCCTCAATTTTTAAAAGATTCACTAATTTTCCCTGCAGTACTGTTATATTCTGGCCTAAAACAAGACCTTTCTCTGTCCCAGCTCTCCAAAAGACCTCACAAGAGTCATCCCAGGCCCTGCCAAAGACCTCGAACCATCATCTCCCTTATTCGTCCCCCATCCCAAAAATACAGATCAATACCGACCATTGTGAAAGTTGCCTCTGCCACCCTCATTCCTACCAAACATCAATCCAGACCACCCAACCCACTCTGGACCACTCTGGCCTCTCCTGTTACAAGTTCTCATAGCCCATATATCTCTTCTTCCTAGCATGAATCACTTATATTTTCACTTGTTGTCCCACTAGCCTATATACGGACAGGGATCCATATAATCATTTCTGCTTTGCCTTGTTACTGCTGTTGTTTTAAAATTTTAAGGGGTCTTTGTTTGACTGGCTCACTGTATCCCAATATAGCACCTTGGAGCCCTCAGGTTTCCTTCAAAATACACCTTGAATTTCATGCCACTCAGCTCAGACTTGGTCCCTTTCTCCTTGTTCCAAATCCAAGGCCCAAGCTGCTTTCTGAGCTCACGACATATTCTCTTCTCCTTCTCCCTCCACAAATTCCAACTCTTCCATCAACAAACACA